AAACTAAATTAATCAAAAAGATACATGCACCGCAATGTTCACAGCAGCACTATAGACAATAACCAAGACATGGCTATAACCTAAATGTCCATTTACAGATGACTAGATAAAGAAACTATAGTATACTTATACAATGGAATACTACTCAGCCATAAAAAAGAATAAAATAATGCCATTTGCAGCAACATGGATGGACCTAGAGATCATCATTCTAAATAAAGTGAGCCAGAAAGAGAAAGAAAAACACCATATGATATCACTCATATGTGGAATCTATAAAAAGAAAAAAGAAGACGACACTAATGAACTTATTTACAAAGCAGAAACAGACTTACATAGTAAACAATCTTTTGGTTATGAGTGGGGAAAGGGGATGGTGGGAAGGGATAAACTAAGAGTTCGAGATTTGTGTATAGTAGTTAGTACATATAAAATAAACAGCAAGTTTCTTCTGTATAGCACAGGGAACTATATTCAATATCTTGCAGTAACCTATAATAAAAAAGAATATGAAAACAAATAGATGTATGTATATGTATGACTGAAACATTATGCTGTACACCAGAAATAATCGATACACCTGGAACTCCTACCTGGAGACAAGGTCTTCTACAAGGCTAGCTCTAAGGCAGTGAGTGCCAAGAGTCTATCTATTCCTTCTTTCCCACTCCCTGGGGCATTCCAAGAAAGCTCCAAAGGGTATAGACTATTCCTTGGAGAATTAGGAGAAGGAAATCGGTCCAGATGTTTGAGATAAGATGCTGTTGGTAGCCCAAGGTTCTGGGGATTCACAAGCCTTAACCTCTGTAGCCCTTCTCAGCCCCTTCTGGTGTCCCTTCCTTTCCTCTCCAGTGTTCTCGGCGGGGCAGGATGGCAGCTCAAGCATTGCTGGGGCATCATTTGCCTCCCTATCCTCAAGTTCCCTTCCTCTGCTTGAGGCTCTCATTCCATCTTCAAGAAAACAAGAATGCAGTGTGTTTGGAATCTGAGTGGCTCTTGGCAGCAGCATGTTCCTGGGCAGGTCAACTAGCCTCTCTGAGGTTGCTTCCTCATTTGAAAATGAGACACAATTTTCAGGATAGTTGGAAGGGTTCACTGAGACAGTGTGAAAAAATCCAGACTCATTAATAAATGTTCATTGTATATAAGTTAAATGTGAGTCAGAATCGCTCTTGTTTTTCTACTAGCATCAGCCCCTTACTGAACAGAGGGAATGGGATATCTGGTCCAACATCTGACGACAGGAGGATAAAGGTTCTGGAGCTCTGGGACTCCATCAGAACACTCTCTCAGGACAACTGTCCAGCACAACAGAAGACAAGCTTCACTCTCAAGGGGTAAGCCCAAAATACACAAGAGCATTAGAAAAAGTGAGACACATTCATGGGTGACAGATTCATAATGGGATTATTGATTCAAACACAGATCCTTTCTCTTCCTTGCATTTTCCATCCTCCTCCCTCCAAAAATTGTTGCTGATGGCTGGGTAGTGACTCAGGGAAGCAGCTAGCAAAGGACAAAGACTTGGCTGCACCTGGAGCTAAAAATGACCAGCACCAGGGCAAAGGAGGGAGATGGCATCATCCCTCATCCCTAATCTCCTCCCTGAGCCTTAGTATCTTATTTGTAACAAAGGGGACAGAACTGGAGAAGCTGGGTGGATTAAATGCCATAAGGGGCCTGGTACCCATTAATAATAGTAGTAAGAACCATGATGTATTGAGTCCCCAGAGCCAGACACCAGGCTAAGTGCTTTAAAAATAGCAGCTCCTTCAATTGCTGGCCCAAACTCCATGAAGGCCAGGACTAAGTCTGTCTTTTTCTCCACCATATTGTCTGTCTCAAGTATAGTATCCTCCCGCGTGATGACAGTAATAACCAACACTCACAGGAACCTTATCTGTAGCCTTATTTTGTTAACTCATGGTATAGACTTATTCACCATTTTCAGCACCATGCATTTCTAATCTTTATGCCAATTGTAAGGGATAGGTACTACCATTATCCCCATTTTATGGATGAAGAAACTGAGGGATGGAAAGCAGAGAAAAGCTAGGTAACTTTACCAAGGTCAACAAGCAAGTGATATAGAGCAGGAATCTTAACCTAGGAAGTCTGGTTCTAGAGCCCATGCCCTTGACCCCTGTGCTAACTCAGGGGGTCAGGGGATGCTCACAAGCCCAATGTCAGGCTGTTTTATAAGTAAAGCTAAGAGGGAAGTTAAATGATTGGCTCAAAGCTACAGAGCTATTAGGCAGCAGACCCAGGATATGAATCCGGTGTGACCAAGCTAAATGCCTCTGAAAGGGTACATTTTACTCTCCACGCCTGTAGGCCAAGCTCTGGGGGCAAGTCTTTTCCCTGTAGAGCTCCCCCTAGAGTCCACAAATGTCCCAAGTCTGGGTCTAGCCTAAGTTGGACAGCTCAGAGACAGCCCTGCAGGAGTCCAGTTCTGAGGGTGGGACTGGCTGCAGGCTGATGCTGGGCCCTCCCTTTATCTTAGTTTCTGGCAAGTGTGTCTCTCAGAGGGCCTGGGGTTGTCCCTGTTCCCAACTTGCTAGGGCAGGTGGGAGACTGACTCCCTGGGAGTAGGAGCTGGCAGATTCAGATACAGGGTTTGGTCAAGAGATTTTTCATACTCATCTCCTGGCAAAGGCCAAGGTTCCATCACTCACACACTTGTTTCCATCACTCATGTCCTTGCCCATTGGCTGGCATCCCGCTCATCATGGATGTCCCGTGATAAGTCAGGAATATGACAGCTGCCATTAGCAAAACATCCCCATTCATCCTCCCAGGGTAGGCTGGCATGGAGTAGAGGCTGAGAGAGGGATGGAGTCAAAAGAAAACAGCTTTTGACACCAGAATCATTTGAGGTTGATTCCAGCCTCTGCTGCTTACTAGCTCGGTAGCTTGGGACAGACAAGTCAGCTAACCTAAGTTTCCATATTGATAAAATTAGAATAGAAATTCTTATCTGGAAGGCAAAAACCACTGCTTAGCACAACTCCAGGGGGCACCATTCACATGGTTGTCTATGTGAGTGGTGCCACATGGAACCCAACTCCATAGAATATAAGGTGAAGGGTGTCTTGAGATTGCATATCCTTTGAGTCTGCACCTTGCAAGAATAGCTAGGCCAACTTTCAGATGTGGAACCAAGGTGCTAACAGGGTTCTTGTGAGGACCTGAGACTATGCCGTGTAAAAGGGCTGGGGCAACGTCGATGCATAGTAGGCATGGTATTATTATGGGATAAGGAGGCAGCCCTTGGAGTGAACAGTACTCCTCTCCAGACACCTCCTGCTCTGAGGGATGCGCCTACCTCGTTCCAACTCCTGTGGGACCAGGCCAGAGCAGATAAAGACCTGCCTCACAATAACCATGACCACAGAGGGTACTAGATACCCTGGCAGTGGGCTGGGATACTTACGAGTTTCAATCTATTTGGGGGTTTGCAGTTACTGGCCCAGAAATCCTGAATGGAATTTCTCCCCTAGCCTGGTTTTCCAGTCTCTGCCTAAAGCAACCTGTCTTTATTCCCCTCATAGGATGTCTTCAAGCCAAGAAATCCTTATTAAAAACCCACTGTCTAGTAGGCACAGTGGAGAGGGAAGTGGCAAGGAAGATAAGATAGTCCCCAGCCCCAAGAAGGTCACAGAGGAGTTAGCTGAGGTGGCAGAGTACAGGGACTTAGGGGTCTATGGTGCACATAATTGTGCATGTGGAGAATCATCTCCACTTGACACTTGGACCCACGGGGGTCATCCTTCCTGCAGAGCCCTTAAGCAAGAAACCAATAGCTCCCCTGCCCACCTTTGGTTTTTCTCTTTTCTCCAGGTGAGGATCCTACCTGCCTAAAGCAGTTTCTGGCTGCCTCTTACCACTTTTCAACTGGCCCAATTGGCTACAATTCTGCAGCTTCCAACACAGGAGTTAGTCCAATGAGCTCCATCAACTGGAGACAGACGCTTACTATTTAATTGCCTCTCATGCCCTCCCTCCTCTCTCCTCCTTCCCCTCCACATCAACAGTGCCATTCTCTTCATTTGTTTGCTTGGTGACTTTTGAGGTATAGTAGACCACTTGACTTGTCTATCTGATTTACTTGGGAACCCCCAGCTTCTAGCTCAGAGCTGGTGAAGTCTCAATATTTACTAGCTGAGTGAATGGATAGAAGAGATGAAATCTTTCCATGGAAGTTGGGCACACTTCATGCTTATTCTAAGAAGATGTTCAGATGTCCACAGTTGCCCTCTAAAAGAAGTCACCACCACTCTTCTTTCCCACCAGGGACTCCTACTCCTGACCCCTTATTATTCATTCATTCACTGGACAATATTTTTTGAGTAGCTCTTCTGAACTAGGCATAGTATCCTGTGCTGGGGAAACAAGCCTTGAGCTCCCCAACCCCCCACATCTCCCTCTTCAAACCCTGGCCCCTTCTTTCTCCCCATTGCCACCACACACCCTGGCCAGTGCGCTTGCGCCCTCCCTTGTTCTGCCTCTTACACAGGGTCCCATATTGGGCTTCTTTGACCCTGCCAAACCTGTATAGGAGTTAAGGGAGGGAGGGAGCAGGATGCCCAGTTTCTAGCACCTGCCTTCAGCCAATCTTCTACCCAACCCCACCCCGGGGACAGTCCCAGCCAGCTCTGTCCTGAACCCCTGGCCACACAGCCTCCTGGAACAGCCTTGAACCTGGTTGTCTCATCTCAGCCTCTGGGGTCCCGGCCCAGGGGCATCCTGCAGACCCCACCCAATGCCCGGGCCCCCAGCGCCCTGGCCCCTCAGTGCTGCCTGAGGCGGGAGCTGCCAGCTTTTTGGAATTCCTAATCGCTCCTGGCCCCGGTGATTGGCTGCTCAGCTCTGACCCCACTTGGGCTGCCGCATGGTTGGATAAAAGGGGAATCTCCTTGGGGCTCCAGAGCATTACACACCGGAGGGGCACCTGGGACCAACTTCGGGAAGCGGGGAGCCCGCGGGGGGGCGGGGGGGAGCAAAAGACCTGCGGCCTCAGCCCCTCCAAAGAGACGAAGAGATGACGGGGAAAGCAGGGGAAGCGCTGAGCAAGCCCAAAGCCGAGACAGTGGCCAAGAACACCTCGGGGGGAACCCCGGCCAGGTGCACCGGGTTTGGCATCCAGGAGATCCTGGGCTTGAACAAGGAGCCCCCCAGCTCCCACCCGCGGGCTGCCCTCGACGGCCTGGCCCCCGGGCACTTGCTGGCTGCGCGCTCAGTGCTCAGCCCCGCAGGAGTGGGCGGCATGGGGCTGCTGGGGCCCGGGGGGCTCCCCGGCTTCTACGCACAGCCCACCTTCCTGGAAGTGCTATCCGACCCGCAGAGCGTCCACTTGCAGCCGCTGGGCAGAGCATCGGGGCCGCTGGACACCAGCCAGACGGCCAGCTCGGGTAGGTGAGGGCGAGGCTGCGTGGCTGCCTGACAGGGGTAACAGCCTGGAACCCAATGTCGTCGGCTCTCGCTTGCACCGCAAGGCCTCCTCTGGGTGCAAAAGTTCGTGTCAGGCCGAGGGGTCACAGCCCGGGCCTGGGGCCGGCGTGTCCGGGGTGGGGGCCTGGAGGATGCTCCAGGCGCCGGCCGGGTTTTAATGCCCGTGTTTGCGGTAGCCGAGCTGTTCTCCCGTTCCCGAGTCGGGCCCGGCTCTGCCGCGGCACGGGGTTGGGGCCCCACTGGGAACTGGGCTTAGGATGTCGGAGCCCGGGGTCAGGGGTTCCCCCTACGCTTTTCCACTGCGGCCCCGGCCTCTCGGAGGACCCGCGCTCCTGGAACTCGATTCTGTTCCGGGCATTGGCGCCCCAGGAAGAGAGTGCCAGCTTCGGGCCCCAGCCCGGGTGTCCAAAGTTGGCTTTTCCTTCCTCCTTTTCTCCCTTCCGAACCCCCCGTATTGGTCGGCTGGGTTTTACTTTTACCCCACGAATTTAGACAACCCAGCCACCGCCGCGGCCCAAGCGGTCGGAATCCGAGATCCCACCTAAGCACCACATCTCGGATATCCGCTCATCGCGGGCTCGGGACCCCGGGATGACCCAGCCGCGCCCTCCCCGGGCGCTTTTCCGGCGGTGTGTCTCCGCCCGCTCGGCCTTCTAGCACTGGTTCTTTCTCGGCGATTCCTCCGATTTTTCGTTATCGTTTTATTTGTTTATTTTTATTTGGAGGGACAACGAAAGTCGCGCTTCGCAGTCTCTCCAGACCCGAGCGGGGGCGCATGGTGCGGGCACTGAAAAGGGGGCTGTGCGCGGGAGCCCCCGGCCCTAATCGGAGTCCAGCTCCCCTGGCCCCGGCTCCGCTCCTGGGGGCCACCTTCTGGGCCCTCGGCGCCGGAGCTGCAAGCGCAGGGC